TACTGCTCCAGAGTCCAATGGCAGCGAGCTATACACCACTCCAGCCAACGCTTGGCATTGCACATGGTGATCTTAGGCTTGTGTGCAGCTGCTCGGCCATGGAAACCCATTTCTTGAAGCTCCCGACGAACAGTTCTTGTGCTGACGTTGCTTCCAGAGGCAGTTTGGAACTCGGTAGTGAGTGTTGCAACCGAGGACAGACGATTTTTACTCGCTACGCGCTTCAGCACTTGGCGGTCCCGTTCTGTGAGCTTGTGTGGCCTACCACTTCGCGGCTGAGCCGTTGTTGCTCCTAGACATTTCCACTACACAGTAACAGCACTTACAGTTGACCGGGACAGCTCTAGCAGGGCAGAAATTTGATGAACTGAGTTGTTGGAAAGGTGGCATCCTACGACGGTGCCACGTTGAAAGTCACTGAGCTCTTCAGTATGGGCCATTCTACTGCCAATGTTTGTTTATAGGGATTGCATGGCTGTGTGCTCAATTTGATACACCTGTCAGCAACGGGTGTGGCTGAAATAGCCGAATCCACTCATTTGAAGGGGTGTCCACATAATTTTGTACATATAGTGTATACTGTGTCTGTAAAATGTATATACAGTAGTATGTATAAGCTGGAAGTAGAAGCCTAAGTATTCTTGTCCATTAGTTTACTCAAATTAGGGGAGGGGTGGGGTTAGGGGAACATAATAAAGAAGGAAAATATATCTTATGAAATATATATTAAAAATTATACAGACAATTACATTGATGGAAGCCACATCTATCTGCAATATTAAAGCTGATCTACCCCCTAAAAATATATATATTACTATTGTGAATCTATTCATACAGATATTCTACAAATAATTATACTATAATGCTAACTAATCAACTGGACTCTTGTCAATATCAATTTCCGTTGGCTTTGAGAAGGCAAAAGATAGAATTGAAGACCTTAAAGGGATATTTCACAATGTGATTTTAACCAATTAGTAGGCAATGCCTACTCATAATTGGTTGAAATCACATGATGCACACCAGATGATGCCGGTGGAAAATCATATCTTCCTCTATCTTTTTTACTACAAAACATAGAAACGTGCCATTTTCACATATGTTGATGTTGGGGTAGTGCTGGTGATGATGAATATGAAGTAGAACATTTTTGGCATTTCCCTTTAATTACTTTTTTGTTCTTCCTTATCTGCATTAATTTAAATCGGATCAAGCAACCATTTCACACTTGAGGAAAACACATTTATTTAATTAACAAATCAAATTTCATGCAAGACAATGGAGCCATCATCCATTGCACATACTATCCTGCAAATGACATGCGTTACTTTCTACAGGGAAGTGCATAATTATCTGGCTAAATGTGGATCATACATGGCCCACACCTCCCACACTCTGGCAGGGTAATTGTATTTCCATAGTGATGCAATCTGCTCCCATCACTTTGGAGACACCAGATTGTAATCATGTGATCATGGATCCATAGCTTCCAATCTCTGCTTCTTCTAAGGGGAAAGGATTTTCAAGACATTCCTTATGATGATGGTTTACCACTTAGTTAAGACAGTGAAATAATGCAGCGCACAATGTATTCATAGCTGTTGGTCAATTCCAGTCTTCACCATTTGAGTGGGAAAAAAACTAGATTAAGAGCCTTGCTCATACTCACTCAGTACTAGGGATTAGGAAATACATTTCATTTTGATTAAACAGAACCAGACAGTTGGAGGGCTTAAGCAGAAAATTGTCAAATATTGCCTTTAATAACTCTCTTGGCTTGAACTTTGTCTCTCATTAGGCAAAATATTGCATACTATTGGAGATCAGATGGTATTCACGTGTCTACGCCTGATTTATTTCTGAGGCCACCTGGGACAGTTTAATTTTTTTTTCTCAAATTCTCATGGTAGAATGCTTGAAGATGTCCAAGGCACTTCCTGTTTATTCTTAAATCACCCTTGATCACAGTGGTCTAAATGTTTTAATGAATATAAGTAGGTATTTTTCACATAAATATGAGTATATCTATCTGAGTTATCAGAAATAACAATGGTAATGCTCACATAATTGAAGGATATTCACCTGTTTTCTATTGAGAAACAGGACTGAGAGTATTGCATGACTTCACCCACATTACAGCTCCAATACTAAGCATTATTTTACTACTTTGGAGAATTTAATGGTGTTATTTCAGTGAAAATACTATTATGTCAATGACATGATGATGAGGAGCCAATGCATTCTGAACATGGAGTTCTTTGAAGCCCCCTGTAAAGTTCTAGAATATCCACATTGAAGTAATGCTTTTATACACAGAGGGCCTAAAACAATGTGTGGGTGGGAGTGTGGGTAGTCAGGAGTTAAAGGTTACACATATACAGTATGGTTCCCTTGAGCTGCTAAGACCAGATCCTGAGCAAGTGCGGGAAGGCCGGTTGTCATGGAAATAATAGCAGCGTTTATGTATGTATCTTCACCTCTCTCAAAGTTCACAATATCCAAGGAGAAAACAAAACTATTAAAACATCTTTCTGGAGAACAAATATCTCAATACAAATCCAATTCTCAATATGTCAACCTCACAATCATCCCTATAATGACAACAAATGGATTAAGCTTTTAATTGGTAGAACATTTAGGATATCTATTAGGCAGCACATTATCTCTCTTATCATTATTGGGTAACCACTCTACCACCCACTAATATTGGGACTACACGAGCTCCGCCGATTCGGATGTGCAGCAGGTGGCTTTTCTTCGCGCCAGAAGAATCCTTTAAACCTCTTCCCGCCCACACAGACCTCTGCTCGATGTCGAGGCGTTTTTCTATCACGCCCGAGGGCTGGAGAAAAGCTCACACTCATGTAACTAAGGGAAATTAACTGTAGATGTGAATGTGTGCTCCGGTAGGCTACTTCAGTTATGTGAGTGGAAAGCAAGCAAAGGAATTAACCGTACCGTGTGAGGACCGTCTTGAGAGAAGGTATGAAAATACAACTTTTTTGGATTGTATTAATTTTAAATTAATGGTTAATTATAACATGCAACACATGTACTTCTCAGACTTAGGTGAATTCAATCTCACTTAATAGCTAGATACATGATTTCATGTCTATCAAAGGTACCAACTTTGATAACTTGTACACAAATTATAATATTGCCATTTTAAGTGTATTTTATGATTATACCCTGTATAGTTAAGAACCACCAGTTGAAGACAATCCACCCAGACCAGAGGCACTCTCCATGACTGTATCTTAATCTGTGAAGAGAAAAAACATCAGAAACAGGGTATATTTTTCTTTGCATATTTTATTAGCAGTGATTAAGTAGGGTACACATTTAAAAGTGACCATGAACTTGACAGTAATAACTGAAATATTGTCCTGATTTGTTGTCAGTGTTTGGAGGAAAAAAAGAGAACAACAGCTCATTTCCTCCAGCATTGAAAAGGAAAATGGGAGGTCCCACAGCTGACACTGACAGCTCACTTGTTGATGCTCAGTTAATATGTCTCTTAACCATTTATTGTGATTAGGGCTAGTTGTAATGATATTGCTCCACTACGTTATCACAGCCCCTTGGTAGAATAGTGGCAGAAGTGGTGATGTAATGTGCACCAACAAAAAGAGCATTGGTTTTGTATGAATGGTACAAATAGAGGACCAAATTCATAAACTGAAGTTGCATTGTCATGTATTGCTATTTCCAGCCCTGGAACTGCTGGGGAGACTAATGTTGGCTAGGACAGTGGGACATGGGAGGTATAGGTGGGGGTTAGACTGTACCTGCGGTTGTCCAAGGACTTTGTAGTTGTGTTCAGCTGTGTGTGTGTGTGTGTGTGTGTGTGTGTGTGTGTGTGTGTGTGTGTGTGTGTGTGTGTGTGTGTGTGTGTGTTTGTGTGCTGACGGGTGGGTGGGTTTGGGAGGGCAGAGCATGCATGTGAAGGTTAGGTCAGACGAGATGACAGACCTTTTCATGTCTGCCCGCTTATGAAATCAGCGAACTGTCACCTCCAGTCAGTTTGGCCCTGAGGCTCTGACAGTACAGGTAGACCGCGTCTGTTGTATCTAGGCTTTGGACTAAACCATGAGTGGTGAGTATGCTATGTTTAAAGAGTCAGTTCAACATCTAGTTTTGATTTACATTTGGTTAAGTTGTCAACTAACGTGAATTCAACATTAAACCAAAACAAAAAATCACCATGTTATTGGATTTAGGTGAAAAGTTGTTTGAAATAAAATACTAAATTCCCTTACATTGACAACTTTTTGCAAATCCAATCAGTTTTCCACATTGATTCAACGTCATCACATCACATTTTTGTTATTGAAATTATTTTGAAACAATCTTGCCCAGTGGGATGTTAAAGGTAAGGCAGTTTGAGTCAGCTTGAAAAGAAGTGGGAGTTTAAGGGACCAGTTGATATTTTCAGCACCAACCAAACTGTGCTGTTTGATTTCCGACATTGATTGTGCTTCTTTGTTTCCAAAACTTGTTGCATAGAAAAGCTGTGATTTGCTTCTGGCTTTTACATGTTAGAATCATACTGTAGAGTTGGTACTCTGTGTTCATGCATATTTTAGCAGGATAGTTTGAAGAGGCTCAAGGCTTTCTTGTAAGTTAGGCATGAAATACCATCACCTCTAACAAAATGGGGCCATTTCTATGCTAGCCTGGTCACAGCTACACTACTTGCCTTATAGGATTGCCTTGGACCAGGTAGGATGATAGGATCATAACTCAGAAAATAACTACAATTTCAATGCAGAGCTGTGATACTGCACTGTATGTATTTGTCATGCATTTAGTCAACGCTCATCCAGCACTGTTTGAGTATTAGCAACAACCATCAGGTTCTTGAGTGGTCTTTTGCAATCCATTTGAATTATTTTCTGACTTCAGCGTTGCTGAATTGATATCAATATTTCCAACCAACTCCTCTATCAAGCAGTCATGTGAACTTCATACACATTTTTCCTTCATTGCATTATAACAGAATGCTTATAGTCTCCTCCATCTCCTCTCCTCCAGTTTCACAGGAAACCTGCCTCCTGGACCAGGTGCTGGAGCTTATTATGAATGAGAAGTCCGCCAACACCGCCAGCCTTTTCCTGAACGAGGACGCCGACAAGCCCACCCTCCCTGAACGAGGCCTCTGGCGGCGGCTAAGTAGGGCCATGCAGAAGAGATCGGCCAGTGGCAAAGACACGATGAGCTCCATCACTAAGGAGAGCGTCAAGGGCTTCCTGAGACGCAACCTCTTTGTCCTCCTCACCATCGCAGCAGTGGCTCTGGGCAAGTGGACAAAATACTTTGTTACTGTCTTATTGGGGTTAGGATTAAGGGTTAAGGGTTAGGGCTAAGGTTATGGTGATGGGGATTTTTTAGTGGACTATGAGATAAAACTGAGTTAATCACGAACATATAGTTAGAATTCTCTGTTGCTAGGCAAGAACTTAATTGGTTCATTTCACTGTGTGTGAAGTGGGGATCTGACCTAGGGTCGAATTGCTCGCTCTTACCTAATCCATGGCTGTCCTACCTTATCAGAGACTGAAACCAGACTGTTACCTTATTCATTTATCCTCAAACAAAGTACAAAGAGCGACGCCAGAGTTGAACAGAGTTTAGACTAATCATGAGTAATTACAGCATGACAGGAGGGAGGAGTGGGGTTTTGTGTACGTTTGAGAGATTGAGTGTGGACCTGTCATGTCCAACAATCAATCTTTAGGTCAAGCCAGGGAGAGCCGGTGTTTAACAGTTTAAAACTGAACATGATTATTTGTGAATGACAAGGGTTGATTGATTGTAATAATATTGTTTCTAAATTGAAGAGAAGTCAAATGTAGCCGCTATCATAGACTAAGGAAGTGGGCGGAGCAGTAGAGAGTGGGAAACTGAAGATAATGGTGGGGGAACTACAGAGGGAGGGGCTCTAAACTAGGATGTGTGTGAATGTGACTATATAAATGGAGAGCTGAGAGGGAGACGGGAGGTGGTCTGCAGACCATCTCGGCTCACGTTACTCTGTGTAATAAAGTCTATCTTAATTCTACAAAAACTCTGGAAGAACTTTGATTTTTAATGAAGTATAGTGATACTTTTCCACATCAATGGTTAGTTTGTTGATTGTTTGTTTATAGTTAATACAATGTTAATAAAAAAAAACAATAGTAATTGCAGTGTTATTACACAGGTATATGAGCTGTAGCCCCCAAGTGTAGACTCCTGTGTCAAGAAGACTTGAAATACATACAGTATTCTTCATCAATGCTCCAGCCTTTATATCATGTCTCCTGTGTGTGTCCAGGTGTCATGCTGGGTTTCGCCCTGCGGCCCCACAACCTGACCCTCAGGGAGATCAAGTACTTTGCCTTCCCTGGAGAGCTGCTGATGAGGATGCTGCAGATGCTGGTTCTGCCTCTCATCATCTCCAGCCTGGTCACAGGTAGCTGGTCACAGGACTTCTGCTTTCTTAGCATCATTATAATGATTTGCATTTACAGTATGTATTGCTTTTGTCAAACTCAAAATGATTTACATTTCATGGAGATCTCTCACCCCTTCTGCATGTTATTACTCTACATTTTCCATACGTCTTGCTATTTTGAGTTTCAAAGTTAGTTGGTACAGTAGTAGTCTTGTGGAAGTACCTAGAGGATTCAGGAGAAAATTATTAACTTTGTCTTGTCTTGCAGGTATTTCCTCTCTGGACAGCAAAGTGTCTGGGAAGATGGGAATGCGGGCTGTGGTTTATTACATGGTGACCACCCTCATCGCTGTCTTCATTGGCATGGTCATTGTGATTGTCATCAAACCAGGGAAAGGCCATAGGGACAGCCCAGTGGCCTCTAGCGGTACCATAGAGCCGGTACAAGCAGCTGACGCTTTCCTGGATCTCATTAGGTGAGTAACTACTGTAGGATCCCAATGACAGTAAGTCAATAGAAGATATTAATAATTGATTGTCCTTTATTCACTGTGATAATAGTTCAGCATTGTTTATCTTTCAGGAACATGTTCCCACCTAATTTGGTGGAAGCCTGTTTCAAGCAGGTAAGGGAATTCACTTGCCAATTGATCAAGCTGCTATTCTTCAATACACTGTGTTAAAATGCTTACTCACCAAATAAATTGTTTAGGACTGATACTCTTTCCTTGTACAATACATACATGTATTCAATGCATGCACTGTTTTGCCCAGTACAAAACAGTCTACAAGAAGACCATCTACACCAAGAACGTGACCGTTTCCCTCAACCTGACTGACTCCCTAAACGCTACAGAGGCTGCCTTGGCTGCTAACATGAGCAGAGTGCTGCAGACCATCCAAGTGGGTGATACACATCGGTGGTGGTGGGGTGACTTACCCCAATGTAAAGTCCTTTGGGGGAAAAAGTGCTACAGTTACTTTGGATAAGTATAAATGTAAATGTGATGTGAGTGGTTGTTCTCCTCGTGCTCCAGGAGACAGTGGTGGAGACGATCCCAGTGTCTGGTTCCTCTAACGGGGTGAACGCCCTGGGTCTGGTAGTGTTCTCCATGTGCTTCGGCCTGGTCATTGGCACCATGAAGCAGCAGGGACAGGCTCTCAGGGACTTATTCAACTGCCTCAATGAAGCCATCATGCGCCTGGTGGCCATCATCATCTGGTTAGTAGTCAGATTAGTGGTTACAAAGTAACGCGTTAATGTACTCGTATGTGCCTTTACCATTATTTCGAACATACAGTATATCTCTCAAAACAGTTGCTTTCGGTGGAATTGTTGTGTTAGGTAGTGTGGGCTATCATACAAATATCTCTCTCGTTTATCTCCTTTCCTCCCTCTCGCTCCGTCAGGTACGCTCCAGTGGGCATCTTGTTCCTGATAGCAGGTAAGATCGTGGAGATGAAGAACCTGGCCGAGGTGGGAGGTCAGCTGGGGATGTACACGGTGTCTGTCATTGTGGGTCTGCTCATCCACGGCCTCTTCGTCCTGCCCCTGCTCTATTTCCTGATCACCAGGAAGAACCCATACACCTTCATCGCTGGCCTGCTGCAGGCCCTCATCACTGCCCTGGGGACATCCTCTAGGTGGGTGTAGGAACTGATTCAGGGTCAGATGTAGCTAATTCATTGCCCTGCGGACATCCTCTAGTTCAGCGTTTCCCAACTCCAGTCCTCCAGGACACCCAACAGCACACATTTTTGTTTGTGCCCCAGACAAACTCACCTGATTCCACTCATTGAGGGCTTGACGATTAGTTGACAAGTGGAATCAGGTGTGCTTGTCCGGGGCTACAACAAAAATGTGTGCTGTTGGAGATACTCGAGGACTGGAGTTGGGAAACACTGCTAGTTGTTGTTTGGACTATTATGATCTCACAACGTCCTCTATTCTCTGCCACCCTGCCATAGCTCTGCCACCCTGCCCATCACCTTCCGCTGTCTAGAGGAGAACAACCGTGTGGACAAGAGAGTGACACGTTTCATGCTACCCGTGGGTGCCACCATCAACATGGATGGCACTGCCCTCTACGAGGCTGTGGCAGCCATCTTCATTGCCCAGGTCAATGACATGGAACTCAGCTTTGGCCAAATCCTCACCATCAGGTGTGTGTTAAGATACCATTAATCTGATAAGCCACAATGCTATGAATGAGCTAGAGCTAGACCTTCAACTATGAAGTTATTTTTAAGTATTAAGTATTTGTCAACTATGAAGTTATTTTTAAGTATTAAGTATTTTTCAACTATGAAGTTATTTTTAAGTATTAAGTATTTTTTAACTATGAAGTTATTTTTAAGTATTAAGTATTTTTCAACTATTAAGTTATTTTTAAGTATGAAGTATTTTTCAATTATCAAGTTATTTTTAACAATAAATAATTTTGTAAAATCTCAACTTGGAAAGGGTATACAAAAGCATATTATCTAATTTTGTAACTACATTAGAGGAGAGAAAATAACAAGGTGTTTTCGTGGTCTTGTTAAGATGGATTTTGTGGTCTATGCCGAACTCCATGTTATTGGCTTTCTTCTATTGACTTCACTACCCAAGACGGATGACCTCTACCATGGAGTGTTGGTTTAGCTCAGGGATGGGCAACTCCAGTCCTCGGGGGCCAGAGTGGTGTCACATCCCTAGCAAACACAACATAAAAAAATATATACATGGTCACATGCTTCGTAATCAGCAGGTATAGACTAACAGTGAAATGCTTACTTACAGGTCCTGTTCTAACAATGCAGTTAAAGATATATATACATATATTTTTATAGTGACACAAGGAATAAATACACAGTGAATAACGAATAACAATAACAAGTAAAAATAACATGCTATATACACGGAGTACCAGTACCGAGTCGATGTGCAGGGGTACAAAGTAATTGAGGTAGCTACAGTGGGGAAAAAAGGATTTAGTCAGCCACCAATTGTGCAAGTTCTCCCACTTAAAAAGATGAGAGAGGCCTGTAATTTTCATCATAGGTACACGTCAACTATGACAGACAAAATGAGGAAAAAAAATCCAGAAAATCACATTGTAGGATTTTTTATGAATTTATTTGCAAATTATGGTGGAAAATAAGTATTTGGTCAATAACAAAAGGTTCTCAATACTTTGTTATATACACTTTGTTGGCAATGACACATGTCAAACGTTTTCTGTAAGTCTTCACAAGGTTTTCACACACTGTTGCTGGTATTTTGGCCCATTCCTCCATGCGGATCTCCTCTAGAGCAGTGATGTTTTGGGGCTGTCGCTGGGCAACACGGACTTTCAACTGCCTCCAAAGATTTTCTATGGGTTGAGATCTGGAGACTGGCTAGGCCACTCCAGGACCTTGAAATGCTTCTTACGAAGCCACTCCTTCGTTGCCCGGGCGGTGTGTTTGGGATCATTGTCATGCTGAAAGACCCAGCCACGTTTCATCTTCAATGCCCTTGCTGATGGAAGGAGGTTTTCACTCAAAATCTCACGATACATGGCCTCATTCATTCTTTCCTTTACACGGATCAGTCGTCCTGGTCCCTTTGCAGAAAAACAGCCCCAAAGCATGATGTTTCCACCCCCATGCTTCACAGTAGGTATGGTGTTCTTTGGATGCAACTCAGCATTCTTTGTCCTCCAAACACGACGAGTTGAGTTTTTACCAAAAAGTTCTATTTTGGTTTCATCTGACCATATGACATTCTCCCAATCCTCTTCTAGATCATCCAAATGCACTCTAGCAAACTTCAGACGGGCCTGGACATGTACTGGCTTAAGCAGGGGGACACGTTGTGACACTCTGGCTCCATGGACTTTGATATTTGAGCCAGGGTTGTTCATTTTCATTTGTTTGGGTGTATTTCTATGTTGGGGTGTCTAGGTTGTTGATTTCTATGTTTGGTGATTGTGCTTGATTAGTCATATGACTCCCAATCGGAGGTAACGAGTGTCAGCTGTCGGCTCGTTATCTCTGATTGGGAGCCATATTTATACTGTGTGGTTTCTCCTTGGTTTTGTGGGGTTTTGTTCCATGTTTCTGTCAGTGTTACAGAGGACTTCACTATCGTCATTTGTTGTTTTTTCGTGGTTGCTTTATTAAATAAAGTCATCATGTTCACTCCACGCGCTGCGTATTGGTCCGCTTCTTCAGACGATCGTGACAGAAAAACCCACCACAAAAAGACCAAGCAGCGTGTCAAGCGGCAACAGGACCTACCTACACAGGATTTATGGACTCCCATAAAGGATTCATGGACATGGGAGGAGATTCTGGATGGTGAGGGGCCTTGGGATCAACCGGGAGAATATCGCGGTCCTCGTGAAGAGCGGGAGGCAGCTAAAGCCGAGAGGCGGCGATATGAGGAGGCAGCACGGAGGCAAGGCTGGAAGCCCGAGAGTACTACCCAAAAATTTCTTGGGGGGGGGGCTAGAAGGGAGTGTGGCGAAGTCAGGTAGGAGACCTGCGCCTACTCCCTGGACTGACCGTGGAGAGCGAGAGTACGGGCAGACACCGTGTTACGCAGTAGAGCGCATGGTGTCTCCTGTACGCAGGCATAGCCCGGTTCGGTACATTCCGGCTCCACGTATCGGCCGGGCTAGACTGAGCATTGAGCCAGATGTCATGAGGCCGGCCCCACGCATCCGGTCACCAGTGCGTCTCCTCGGGCCGGCTTACATGGCACCAGCCTTACGCATGGTGTCCCCGGTTCGCCTACATAGCCCGGTGCGGGTTATTCCACCTCCCTGTACTGGTCAGGCGACGGGGAGCATACAACCAGGTAAGGTTGGTCAGGCTCAGTGCTCAAGGGAGCCAGTACGCCTGCACGGTCCGGTATTTCCGGCACCACCTCCTGTCTCCAGTCCAGTACCACCAGTGCCTACACCACGCACTAAGCCTCCTGTGTGTTCCCCGAGTCCTGTGCGTCCTGTTCCTGCTTCCCGCACTAGCCCTGAGATGCGTGTCCTCAGCCCGGTACCTCCAGTTCCGGCACCACGCATCAGGCCTACGGTGCGTCCCCAGGGTCCAGTATGCCCTGTTCCTGCTTCCCGCACTAGCCCTGAGATGCGTGTCCTCAGCCCGGTACCTCCAGTTCCGGCACCACGCATCAGGCCTACGGTGCGTCCCCAGGGTCCAGCATGCCCTGTTGCTTCTCTCCGCACTAGCCCTGAGATGCGTGTCCTCAGCCCGGTACCTCCAGTTCCGGCACCACGCATCAGGCCTACGGTGCGTCCCCAGGGTCCAGCATGCCCTGTTGCTTCTCCCCGCACTAGCCCTGAGATGCGTGTCCTCAGCCCGGTACCTCCTGTTCCGGCACCACGCACCAGGCCTACGATGCGCCTCAGACAGCCAGAGTCTGCCGTCTGCCCAACGGGGCCTGAACTGTCCGTCTGCCCAACGCCGTCTGAACTGCCCGTCTGCCCAACGGGGCCTGAACTGTCCGTCTGCCCAACGCCGTCTGAACTGCCCGTCTGCCCAACGCCGTCTGAACTGTCCGTCTGCCAAGCGCCGCAGGAACTGCCCGTCTGTACTGAGCCGGCAAAGCCGCCCGTCTGCCATGAGCCTTCAGAGCCGTCCGCCAGACCGGAGCCGCTAGAGCTCTCCGCCAGACAGGAGCAGCCAGAGCCTTCCGCCAGACAGGATCAGCCAGAGCCTTCCGCCAGACAGGATCAGCCAGAGCCTTCCGCCAGACAGGATCAGCCAGAGCCTTCCGCCAGACAGGATCAGCCAGAGCCTTCCGCCAGACAGGATCAGCCAGAGCCGTCCGCCAGACAGGATCAGCCAGAGACTTCCGCCAGCCATGAGCAGCCAGATCCGTCAGCCAGCCATGAACAGCCAGATCCGTCAGCCAGCCATGAGCAGCCAGATCCGTCAGCCAGCCATGAGCAGCCAGATCCGTCAGCCAGCCATGAGCCGTCCAGCCAGGATCCGCCAGAGCCGTCCAGCCAGGATCCGCCAGAGCCGTCCAGCCAGGATCCGCCAGAGCCGTCCAGCCCGGATCCGCCAGCCAGCCAGGATCCGCCAGAGCCAGCCAGCCAGGATCCGCCATTCAGTCCGGAGCTGCCCCTCAGTCCGGTGCTGCCCCTTAGTCAGGTACTGTCCCTTAGCCCGGTGCTGCCCCTTATCCCGGTGCTGCCCCTTAGCCCGGTGCTGCCCCTTATCCCGGTGCTGCCCCTTATCCCGGTGCTGCCCCTTATCCCGGTGCTGCCCCTTAGTCCGGTGCTGCCCCTTAGTCCGGTGTTGCCCCTTAGTCCAGGTGGGGTTAGTTGGAGGGTGGTCATTGGGAGGAGGCTACTGAAGCAGGTTGTGACTGTGGTGGGGTGGGGATCACGACCGGGGCCAGAGCCGCCACCGTGGACAGACGCCCACCCAGACCCTCCCCTAGTCCTTATGTTGGTGCGCCCGGAGTTCGCACCTTTAGGGGGGGGTACTGTGACACTCTGGCTCCATGGACTTTGATATTTGAGCCAGGGTTGTTCATTTTCATTTGTTTGGGTGTATTTCTATGTTGGGGTGTCTAGGTTGTTGATTTCTATGTTTGGTGATTGTGCTTGATTAGTCATATGACTCCCAATCGGAGGTAACGAGTGTCAGCTGTCGGCTCGTTATCTCTGATTGGGAGCCATATTTATACTGTGTGGTTTCTCCTTGGTTTTGTGGGGTTTTGTTCCATGTTTCTGTCAGTGTTACAGAGGACTTCACTATCGTCATTTGTTGTTTTTTCGTGGTTGCTTTATTAAATAAAGTCATCATGTTCACTCCACGCGCTGCGTATTGGTCCGCTTCTTCAGACGATCGTGACACACGTCTTTCACTGCAGGATTTGAGTCCCTGGCGGCGTAGTGTGTTACTGATGGTAGGCTTTGTTATTTTGGTCCCAGCTCTCTGCAGGTCATTCACTAGGTCCCCCCGTGTAGTTCTGGGATTTTTGCTCACCGTTCTTGTGATCATTTTGACCCCACTGGGTGAGATCTTGCGTGGAGCCCCAGATCAAGGGAGATTGTCAGTGGTCTTGTATGTCTTCCATTTCCTAATAATTGCTCCCACAGTTGATTTCTTCAAACCAAGCCGCTTACCTATTGCAGATTCAGTCTTCCCAGCCTGGTGCAGGTCTACAATTTTGTTTCTGGTGTCTTTTGA